ATTTTCTAGCCAATTTCTGATCATATTGCCATGTCACAAAGTCTGCAAGAAAACCCAGGCCATTCAACCAGCTATATGAAGAAAACAAACAGGTCCTAAGGTAGATTTTGTTTAAATCAGGGCATTTTTTTAAAGGAAATATGTTCCAAAATTGGCTTCATAAACCCACACATGAGTGCCAGAGCAAGTCCATCTAACTAGATGGACAGCATTTATTTTCACTTTTGTAGGTAGCCTTAAGCTTGCCATCTTGGGGAGCCCAATGTATTGCTGGTAGACCCCATCGCTGGTATGCTCTGTGGGCTGGCTACTCTTCCCTTCACTCCTGCCAGGGTCTCTGAAGTTCAGAGCAATCTTGACCTGATCTGGACATGACATTTCTGGTCATGTTCAAGCCACAGAAGAGTAATCAGGCCACAGAGAGCCAGCACTTCCAGAATCGAAAATAGAACCTTCTAGGCTGTACAGATAGTTTTGGACCACACAAGATTTCAAATACCTGGGATCCCACATTTGTACATTTGCAAATAGCCTACATTCAGATGACACAAAGTATATACACACATACAAACATTTAAAATTAGGATACCAATAATGCCTTGTAAGGTGAAAAGTTGTCTTTTGTGTAAACATGAATAGGATTATTTGGAACTTTTAGATCCAAATCACTCCTCTTGTCATCATGCAGATATCTTCTGTGAGGCTGCAGATCTTATTGCATTCTTATCTTCTTTGAATCTTCTTCTCTTTTTTAGTGAAATAAAAAAAATTGTTAAAAGCACAGAGCACATTTTTCTATATACCATTTTATCATTAACATAGGACAATGCTATTTCCATTATACCTTTTATCTGTAATCATAAAATCTCTCTGTTAGGTACTAGTAAAAAGTCCTGAATGACTTGTTGTTTTCATAGTTTTATATCTATTTGTGAGAAATAAATTTTATTACAGATTTCATCACAAATTGCTCCCAATACTTCATATTCCATTTTTATATATTACTTTTGCAAGAGAGTTCCTCCTTCTTTCATTGGTTTGTTCCTTCCTCTCCTCTGTCCTTTTTTATCATCATAAGTAGAGAACAATTATGAATTTTAATCATCATATAAATTTTCTCCAAATTTAAGCTTTGGACTTTGTATTAAGGATTCTATACCCAATAAACAAAAAAAGATTCTGCTTTGGAAAACGCCTTGCTATATATTATGAATGCAACTACTGAATTTTCTTATCTATATTTAAAATCATGAAGGCTTTACAAATATGCCATTAGCTCAAAAGCTGAGTATTGTATATCACATAAGATTGACAGATATTTCACTTCCGTGATATATCAAATCATAAATTTAATTTTTTTGCTAGATAATCTCACCCTGCAATTTTCCATATCTATAGCCTGGGTACACACTCCTGCAAACTTTGAACAACTACACTTTCTAATGTTTCTGTTCTCTGGTGTAATAACAGATATTCAACCTCAATTCTAGAGATCAGGTTGTCTCCTTGGTTGCAGGGATGCCATAGCACATTTGCTTTTTAAGAGCAAGGCTGCACATTAGAAAAATCGAAGTGGTTGATTTAGCTTCCTGTGTTTTTTCCCCCGGAAATGTCAGTCTGCATTGAGTTCATCAGGAGTTTTCTTCTATTGAAATCTCTGAAAAGTAAGTGCACTTCAAAATTCTTTTGTCTTTTCATGTCACCTGTGCACAAAACCAAGAGCCCTTTCTAAGCTCTTATCTTAAACATTATGAGTCCATGAATTAAAGCCCCAAATCTTCAAATTCATCATCAGGCATCCATGGGGAATTTCTGAACACAACTTAACTGTTTTCCTTCAGTGGTCATGGGACTATACACCTAAGTCCAGACTTGACCTTGTGCTTTCTGATGTCAGCTATACTTTTTGCCAGTTCCTTCATTTAGAATGGTAGGAGAACTTGTTTTCTCTCACTTCTTTTCAAAACTCACAGAATTTATAGCAGCTATTCTTTCTGGTGGGGGTTGGGGGGTGGGAGGCACTAGGAATTGAACCCAGAAGAGTTTGACTACTGAGCAATATCTCCAGCTCTTTTTGAGACAGGACCTCATTAAGTTACTGAGGTTGGTTTTGAACTTGAGATCCTCCTGCCTCAATCTCTGAGTAGCTGGTATTACGGGTGTGTACCACCACACCTGGCAAGCTGTTATAAGATGTGAATGGTTGGCATTAATTAGTTTATAATAAGGGAACTTCAGAAAGCAAACACCATTTTCCTTAATTCCACTTTTGCAAGATTGAAAAACTGGTTGGAAAGTTTGCATAGAGGAGAGTTCATCAGGCAGATGACATTCACTGGCAATGCTTTTTAATTTTGAATGTAACTACCTCCTTCATTGTCCCTTTAAGCAAGAATGTATTAATTTAAAAAATGCATAAAGTCAGGTATAGGGCAGGGAGGGAATGAAATCTTTATGTTCCATCATCTGTTTCAGACAGAGTGGGCATATGATTACAATTCTGACATTGAAGGCATCAGGTGGACCAACTTCAATCTATAGCCTTTTAACCACATATTTTCTGTAAGTAACTATCCAAACAGGGCATCTGAGGTCCAATCAGCATGGCCACAGATGACTTCAGAGCCCAAGGACTGCCCAACACAAACAGATGTACACCAGGTCAGATGTTTTCAGTAGGAAATTATCTTCTGGCCAAATCATGGGCATACTAGAAAAACATAGATTCTTCTCCAAATGTGTTTTGAGGTTGTTGAAATGCTTTTCTTTTTGTTCTCTGAGTAAACTGGGGTAGATTGAGTTCCTGTTCTGTGTGAAGCAGCATACACGTACCCTGCTGTTCAGGGAACTTAACCTAGTGCTGATATGCATCATCTGGAAGATTCCTTTAGAATGCTTATATTTAAACTTGACCAAACCCTCCATATTTAGGAATAAAAGCTTTAGAGACAGTCTTCTGCGTATTTGGTTTCTGTTTTATTCTACTAGAGTCTCTGTAAGTCTTCTCTCCAAAGGTGCATGGCTCCTTTCACTTCCCAGCTGCTTTCCTTGTCTTCCAGGAAAGGAAACATCCAATAGGATACTTAGGCCACCTTTCCTTAAACACTTGAGGTCCTGAACTACACCCTTTCACCCTTTGCACCCTTTCTTAGTTCTGAGGTAGATGTGTTGTTACTCACTTGCACCTACCTTTTTTTTTTTTTCTTTTTTCAACCAGGGATTAAACCCAGAGTTGCTTAACCACCGAGCAACATCCCCAGCCTTCTGTCTCTCTAAATTGCTTAGGGACTTGCTGAACTGCTAATGTTGGCTTTCAACTTGCAATTCTCCTGCCTCAGCCTCCAGAGTTGTGGGATCATGGGCGTGCGCCACCACACCCAATTGAATAGTTTTATAGAAGTTTAATTGTGAGGAAAACTCCATCACATTGTTGCTTACCCACCAGAATAAATAAATAAATAGGCCAAGGTTGAATGCATCCGTTTATATTTCAAGCGCACTCTCTTACAGGAAGTCTGAGGGATAGTAGGATTCGTTTATTGGACACTTAAGTTATTGTCTAGCAAATATGTTGATCTCAGCACAGGGGCTTCTTGGTTTTCATGGTTGTGCCTGCAGTGTGCAGAAAAAGGAAAACCACCTGAGAGGAGGAAAGCTCCCGTGGTTAAGAAGGCAGAGCAGATCACTGTGATGCGCTTGTGTAAGAGGTGTGATGCTCATGTGCAATCCCCCTTGGTGCCATATGAACACCTCTGCACCCTTGCGTGCTTTGTCCTGAGGGGAGGGGTGACCCACAGGTGGGGGTCCTGTGAGAAAGAGCACTCAGAGAAAGTTCATGAAGCAATTGACAAGAGGACAACTGGGAAAGAAGAAGTGCTGCCTAGAGGAAATGCTTTCACCCAGAAGTATGAACAGGGCCCAGATGTCTGGGCAGTTTAATTATAATCCACCATGCAGTCAGTCGATACCATCCCACGCTTGCAAGTTCCTTCAGGCTCGGGGTTTGGTGCCTTCCTTTTATCCTTAATGATAATATCTTTTCCATTGCCCCTGTTTTCTGTTAGTTCTATTCATTAGCTTTCTTTAGATGGCTTTTAAAAATTAACCACCAAGAAAACTTTGAGGAAACTTAAGTCTAACCTTGGCAGTGACATACATTGTTTGCATTATTTGCTCTCATCCTCTGGATTGTTTGCCCTCAGGTATCTTCGTGTGTTGACTTCTGTTGTCAGTTTGTTAGCTCCTTCAGCTGCAAACACACTCTCTTTCCTTGATCAGTTCCTAGCTAGGGACACAAAATATTCCTAGAGTAGGTGCCCATTAAATAGGCTTCAGCACTTATTTATAGGTTTTGTTTTATTTTTTGGTACTGGGAATTGAACCCAGAGGGGCTTAACCCCTGAGCCACATCCCCAGCCCCTTTTATTTTTTTTTTTAATTTTAAGACAGAGTCTCACTAAGTTGTTCAGGGCCTCCCTAATTTGACAAGGCTGACCTCACTCTTGCAGTCATCCTGCCTCAGCCTCCCAAGTCACTGGGATTACAAGCGTGTGCCACCAGCCTGGCTTCAGCTCTCTTTTCAATGGCTAGGCCCAACTCACGGAGCTTAGTCAGACCAAAGCATTTTGAGATCCATGCAAACAGAGCATGTCATGATTTTGCCATTGGGTCAGTTTTGGTGGCTATTGGTTAAATTTAAGGGAAATTTTAATCCTTGCCACATGGGTTAATAAGTTTCAGAGTGATCAGATGTCTGGCTTTTAGATGCAGGAAGCAAAAGCATTGTGAAGTCACCCGTCCATCACTGACTGGTGTCCAGGTACAGTATGGCTCCTCCTTTAATTCACTTAGCCAAGAAATCCTACTGTGTGCCAGGCGCAGTTCTCAGTGATTAACACAGAGTTAGACAAAACAGGCAGAAAATCCACATGATTGTGTGGCTTACATAATAGTAGGGAGAGAGTGTTTTTCACTACTTAAAATTTGTTACTTTGTTAAAGAGTGACTCATCTGCCTTGCTGAGCCCTAAGGAGATCCAGTGATTGAAGGAGCCATCAGCCAGCTGACTTAACACTCAAGAGACCAGGGTAAGCAGGCAGCTTTTTGCATTCCTCACCATAGGCTAGTGACAAATGAATGCAGTTGATGTGGGTATAAAACGTAATAACTATGTAGAGCATTTGGTCCAAAATTTCCCTTGTAGTAAGCACTCAATAAAAGGTGGTTGTTGCTTTATTAGTGTGGTTGCTGGATTTTGTAGAAAGAGCTTCCTATCTAGATGTTAACACAAAATCATAGCCTTGAGCTCCCGGATGTAACTAGAAGCTGTCTCTGAGTTTCTCTGGCATTTTACTTGCTCTGCTTGGGATGGCAGCAGACATCCATTTCTGTTAACCATGCTCTGCCCTCACTCTCCCTCCCTTTGTGGAGTAGAGCACACCTCCTCCATCATTCTTCTCCAATCACAGATCCCTCCACCTCCATTTTGCTTTTTTATTTTGGGGAAGTGCCTTTCCACATCTTTGGTCCTTGGGAAACATCATTTTATTATTTTTGCTGTGGAGGAGGAACACAAACAATTCAACCTTCTATGCTGATTCCTTCAGAGTAGATATAATAATGATGAATTTGTTAATAGTCATTCTGACAAGGCAGCTGGAAGACATGACACATGCATTTATGGTACCCCAAACGGATAGGTATCAGGATATTCATAGGATGATATAGGGAAAACAGAAACCTCATGGGAAACCTCAGATTTCCCCTAATTTATATATAGGAAAAAAATGACATTCGTGGCCATTTCAAAAGTCCCATAAAATAGCAATTCATCAGTTTTTCTTGACTTTTATTCATTTTATCTAAATGCCTGTTCCTTTCTTCTTGTCTGTGAAGAAGGTTTTAATAACTCAAACACTTAGCTCCCACTCTGGCTCCTATGACTGCATCACATTTGCTAAGTTTCATTGTTTTGAAATGACAGATGCCTTTTTTACTTCTTGTAGGAATGAAGGAGAAAAGAGTTCCTGTCAGACATCCTAATTATTTTTAAAATTAATATTTCTCCTCCCTCTTAAAAATGCCTCTCCCCTTTGTGATGAATTTTATATTTTTGAACCCTTTAAGCCAGAATGGAAGACATGAATTTTGTGATTAATCTTTGTTCTATCCCAAGATATAGCCAATGTAAAGAATTGAAAAAAAATGGATTATTTCCTTGGCATCCAGATAAAAAGAAAAACTTTTAAAAAAGCATTGAAATGAATTGAATTACACTTAAAATGCAAAAGTTCGAGGGTCTACAAATCCAGCAAGAGTATCATTTCAGGGAATCATTGCCTCTTCCCGTCTCTACAATTGTGCTGCTTGGTGTAGGAGATAACAGATTAGTGAAATTGAGAGAAATAATCCAGAGTAAGTGTATAACTTGATGGCATTCCTGTAAGATCTAAATATTAAAGGACGTTTTTGTTTTACAAAGTCATAGGGCATTGTCTACAAGATCCCAGCTGCATTTGTAAATTCTTGGGAAATGTGGTTTAGTTACAATTAGGAAGACAAGGGCTATTATTTACCTCCAAGATCCTGCTTTTTTTTTTTCCTTAAAGATTAGGGAGATGCTCATTTCTCAGCATTACATGTGATCTGTCACCAATATAGAGTCTAATGAATTATTTCATATTAAAAACTGAACATGGCTTTCTACAAAACCTGAGCATGTTCTATCTGGGAATCATGTAGCTATGTAGTTTTCTGTGTGGCCTCTGGACAGATAGACACTATGAGCTCTGGGTGTGGAAAGAGGAAGTTGGGCAGATAGCAGACATTTTTAGGGCATTCTGACAGCTATGGTGTGTGGGTTTTCAGGATTTTCAGAGACGGACTGAGCAAATGTCTGGAGGCCCAAATATGTCCATGAAATTTTGGGGATAAAAATAGGGAAGAAACACACATGCTATTATTAAAAGATATGCTCATATCTGTTTCTGTTCCGTATTTGTGAGCTGATTCTCAGGGAAAGAAGATAGTGATCCAGTGAAAATAAATGTGTGGATCTCTCTTGCAACATCTTGAAAATTAATTGTTTCTATTAGGTAAATATGGTCTAGATTACTAGTAGAGGCATCATTAAAGGATAAGAATTTGTGAAAAGAGCTCTGACCTTCAATCAAAATGATTTTGTTTGTGACCCAGATCTGCCACTATAGGGTGGTGGATCTTGTCCAAATCACTGTATTTGATGTCAGCTACACTAGCTGGTCTGAAGGTTCTTTGTACCTCTGTGGTTCTGTATGTACTTTCACTCTTTTTTTAAAGTTCATACCTGGTCAGAGGTTGATGACAATACTCCACATTTGGATAGATCATGGCTGGACTCTTAATAGAGTGAGGATGGAAATGTAAAGTAGTGTTAGAATGCATGGATTATGGAAGTTGAGGCCATTTGCAAATCCTTGGACAAGTACCAGTGGTCATTCAGTCAAACTAAAATCAGCATCAGCCTCAGTGCACTCAGAGATAGCTGGGGCTTACTTTATAACATGGCATTAGGAGACCATTGACCCCAGTCTCTGTGTCTTTGACTTTGGTCATATTTTTTTTTGCTTGTTTGCAATAAAAAAATATACCAAAAGATGGGAAAGTCATTCATATGCTACCAATCAGGTGCTCCATTCCATCTAGCTGTCTTGCCCAGATTAATGATAGCCTGATATTTGCACTGCCTTCAACTATGTCAAGAGTAGGCTATGGACAAACAATGTATAGAGTTGATAGTGTTTATTACCCTCTTTTGGTGAGGCACATTGGCCCCATGTGCATTGACTTCAATTGAGGTGCAAATGTTCTCTGAACATCTTATTTCCCCTACCTAATCTCTTTGATCTTGTGGGGTCCACATTATATGGATAATTAGCAAATCTTATTTATCAAATACAAGGCTGCTAAGAAGATGATACAACTTATTGGGTACCTGTACAATCAAGTACTAACCAGAGCATAGAACTAGTTTGTATATGTATGTGTCATCCATATATCAGAGGAAATTTTGTAAAGCAGAATACCACTTTTCCCTCTTGTACTATCATTTGTTGGCCTTGATCTTTTGGAGCATATATTGATTTGTTTATTTTTTATTCATGTCATACTTGGAAGAAAGAAAAAAAATTTCAAAGGGAGATTGTGTTATTTGACCTGAATATCATGTCTTACTGTAGAATATCTTTGTACTTGTTACAAGAATGAAGAAATGAAACATTGGCACATGACCTTTTTGCTTTAGATGTTTTCATTGACATTAGACTTGTTTAGTTTTGAAGCATTCATATTACCACAAAACTGCTGTTTTTTACAAAGCTTTGGCATTCATTCTTGTCATTGTTGTAATCCAGCTAAATATTGACCTATGTGATTTTTCTATTCAGGTTTATTACAATGAAAGAAAAAAAAAGTGAAATTCTACATATGAGCTACTTTATGTTTTTAAACTGCCCAATTCTTTGACTAAGCTTAAACAAGAATATTTATGTAATATATTTAAGTTCCCTAAAATCTTATGTTAACATTCCTTTTTTTTTTTTTTTTTTTTTTTTGAGTACTGGGGACAGAACTCAAAGCCTTGTGCATGCTAAGTAAGTAAGCACCCTACCACTGAGCTACATGCCCAGCCCAAATTTGTTTTCTTAAATGAAGAATTGATTTTTTTTTTATTTTTCTTCTGGGTTCTTCTTCCAAAATGGTGTTCTGATTATTTTATTATTTGCATGATGACTCAAGAATCTTATGGAATATTTGTGTATTTGTTTGACCAAAAAGAGTTTAATTAAAAGGTACAGTTCATGGTTGAGTGTTTCTCATGCATGTATTAAAAGATAAAATTTTCTTTAGCAAATTAATTTATGTGAAAATTTCTTCTTAATGTTTTTGGACACCTTACTAAGATATGATCAATGAGTACTCATTGTTGCTTTCATTTCTGAAAGGTTTACATTCCAATATCTTCTCTTTACATTTAACTTTACAGGTTCAAAATCTTTTTAAAATGTTAGCAGAGTAACTGTTTTGAGAATGGGTACTATTCTGGTTTATACAGTTCTGCAGTGTTTATGTATTTCATGTGAAAAAATTGAAAACTGTCTACTGTAACTGTGATATGCAAGTGGTTTTCATTTGTAGAACTGTGACCTGCTAAAAAAGACGAAAATATAATTATAAGAGGAACATTTCAATTGTCCATATAAGTAGATGTGACTGTGTGGTTTCGTTATAAAGTATCTATACTGATCTGGGATGAGATTAGTCATCTCTGGGTGAAGTTTTAATATAAGTACTGTGTAGAAAGTAACTAATGAATTGACGCTCACAACTTGCAAATAGAATTCAGCCTAAATTTCCGGTTTAGATACACCCTGAGAACTAAATCCCTGCTGGAATTTGAATCAAATCCTGATCTTGCTTTGCCTACGCGGCAGCACACTGATTAACATATGATACATGCACGAAAGTAGGACACAGTTTGTTGGTGGTAAAGATAGAATATTTGGTGCTTTGTACTGGGTCTTCCTCCTCTTTCCCTCTTTATCTTATCCCCACAATCCTAATTGTTGTGATCTTCAAATCTAAAGCAAGCTAAGGAAATAAAAACAGCATAAATATAATATGGAATTATTGTCTTCATTGTAAATACAGCTAGCATTTTTGATCAATTTCCTATGGACCGTTTTTTGGCCTCTATCAAATAATAACTCCCAAATTATGGTTAAAATTACATTGCTATTGATGAGAACTACACTAACTTTTATTTTGTGTATTTATTTGTATATCATCTCCTCCCTTTTCCATCCTTCTAACTCTAAAAATTAAAATTTGGTCAGAGTATCTATTAACAAAATGTTGCAGAAAAACATATTCATTAAATATAGTTCGGGTCCTTTGTGCAAATGAGAGAACGTGGAACAAATGGAGATTAAATGGCTATGGAAGGGTGGGGCTAGTTTGGGGAACAGAATGCTGGAGTAGGGCTGGTTTCCTGGCACGGCTTTCTTAGCAAAGAGAACAATTTTAATCAGTTACAAAAATATTTGTGATCCATATGTTCCTCTCTGCTCACTCCCATATGCCCATATTCTCTTTTATCTCGGTAGATGATGACTTTATGATTCAGGCATGCAAGAATAATACCTCGCTGACTTTAGAGCTCAGTGCTATTTCAAAACCCTGTTCTGGTAATTACGCACACATATATATCCAGTCTGTTAGCGCTTGGAGTTAGTTATGTGAATATCAGTTTGTTCTTTCTTTGTGGAGAGAATTATATCTTGCATCCTCCTACTGAAGCTGGAATCATGTATCTAAGGCTCAGATTTCAAACTGCATTGCCCTTCACCTGCTGGATTAAATGCCACTGTACAAATATGACAGTCAGAAAGAGAAGGCAAAGGGGTTGGCGATGACTGTTGATAACTTCATTCGACTTGGGAAAAGGAAAACAGAATCCAAAAAGCATTTGGTAATTCCACTGATTGCTGATGTTTCTTCTAAGAAAAATTAGGTGATGGGTGTGTTAGTTAATGGATCCTGATTTTAAGACACGGTGACTTCTATTTAATATTGAGTGTCAGTTATAGTATTCAGCTGGTCAAAATTGAAACATTCAAATTACTGTTGACTAGCTATCCATTTTGTTCTAAATGCATGTTTGCTTATCTTTCAATAGCTATATGATATCCAAGAACAAAAGATGCATGTTTTAAAGACAAACTACCCATCTTGATAAAGCATAAATAAATCCAGAAATTATTGCCTTTATAAGTGATTGTATTTTCAACAGTTGTTTTCTTCTTGCACAATAATTGGCTTCATAACCCAGAGTGTTGTTAGAACAGTCACGGTGAAATCCTGTGAGGAACCAGCCATGCTCATTTAAACTGGTGGAGGGTGGATGGCAAGGGGGCAGTTAGGGTTTTCACAGATGGGCATAAGATAGAAGAGGTGTGCCTGCTGTTGGCAGTTAGCAGGTGTGTACAAGTAGTTTTACAGCAAGAGGAAAGAGATAGGGCTTGGTTTTGGCAAACATTATTAGGAGCCCATCTCTATGTTTGCATTCAAGCTGTCTTTGCTGTTACTCCTGTAGGAGTTGTGAGCAAAAGAAAGTGCACATTATAGCATGTATTGTTTTCAACAGATTCGGAGTTTGCAAATCTTTGAATCCCTCTGACAGTGTTTCTTCGCTGTCAAACAGAATGCCCAGCTGGTGGAGCAATCCTAATGGGGAGGGAGGGGTGTGGATAGACTGTTCACCACGCAACAGGGATATCAGGAATTCTTCTGGAACTGTAAGTGGAGTAAAAAGAGCTCTCTTAGCCATGCCCAATAGGAAAGTTTTCTTTATTTCCTAACTTAAAAAAAAATCTTTATAGACAATGCTTCATTAAATCAGAAACTTTAAATTTGCTTCACTAAGGTAACTTTCACAAAGAGTCACAGAAACAGAATTAAAGTATATCATATTAATCTATAATTAAGACAAAGACTTGGGTTAAAAAAGGAGGCAAGGCTGTTGCTCATAGGTGATTTGGGTTCTCATTGAGGCAAACACACAAGCTTGTTTTTTTTTTAATTTTTTTTAACACAAAGTGCGAGATTTCACTAAAAAAGGTTAAAATTGAAGTGAGTAATCTTCAGTGCATAATGCAATTGTTAATTTTAGCTCCTTGCGTGGGTGCCGCTCTGACTTGAACAGCCGGCTGTAGCCTTCATTAGAGAAGAAGCAGGCAGCTTGAGACAGGTGGAGCTGGATCAAGCTGTGAACGTGATTTGCTGGAATCTGGTCATTAGTGTTAGAAAACCAGTCTTATTTATTTTGTCCTTCACCCTACCATGATTATTGCAGTTATTATTATTTACTTTTCGTCTTTTTTCAGGTTGAGGATGATGCGTCAAACTGTGTAAGGGAACCGCAAGGAGATGGGCATTCTGAACTGTTAATGGGGACATGGGACGCCAGTTGCCTCTGATTACTTGTGTGGATTTTCCCGGTGTAGAACGACAGAAGCCGCTAGTAAGTCACCAAGACCTACAGCAGGAATTCTGCGTGAAAGGTAAAGGTCCTCTCTGACTGTCACCTCATCTGTATTTTACTATTATGACACCAATGTGCCTGTTCGTGTGGAACATTTCACTGACTGTAACCACGGTAGATGGGGATCCATATCAGAGGCTTGTTTGGCTTGTAGTTTGGAAAACTAGAGCTCAATTTGTTCACTCCATTTTACATCTGGTCATGATCTGCTTTTTTTACTGAAATGTTCTGATAAATGAGTTAAGGCAACCAAAGTTCTTTCTCCTCCCCCCTACTCAATACACTGAGAAACAAGCTGTTTGCTAGTGGGAAACAGAACTTTTAATTTGTTAACCACACATACTGAGTGCCAGTAGGATCTGAGAAATCTGTCAGAATGCACCGGATCCTAAAACCTTCCCAAACTTGAAAGCATTGATCATTAGTCACTTAAAGACTTCAAAACACTGTCCTTTAGGAAAACTATTCCTTTTACATTCCCACAATCCTTTGCCAAAATGAGCCTGTGTATTTTAAAGATCATTACATCCCATCTGTTCTGTCATGGTAGATTTTAGCAAATTTGCAATAGAAATTGCTGTGGTATAGATTTTTCTTATGCTTCCTATTTCCAGTTGGAAATAAAATCATTGAATTAGTAAATGGTAATTAAACACTCTCCAAGAAACATCCAATACTAATTATCACTGGACAGTCGTTACTTGGGAATTTTTATGAAAAAAAAATAACTTTCTCAGTTATAGCCTCTTTCTCTCCACTTTTCCTTCCTCTTTTCCTACATCCTTCCTTCTTTTTCTTTTCCTTTCTCATTGCTTAAAAAAATAAGGAGGAAGTCAGTGCTAAATTATTCATGAGCCTTCTCTGACAGCACATCAGAAGGGGAAGTGTCAGAGATTTTTATGGAGGTAGGGAGGAAAAAAAAAACAATAACAGGCTTTAACTTTGAAAAGCCATTTCCAGTGTCTGTATACTAGACTCTTGTGAGCCTGGAGTAGCGGAGTTGAGTCGCGATAGCTTCATTAGAGCTGCCTGCCAGACTTCCTCTGCAGGCTTGCAGCACCAGCAACTGACAGGAGCCTGGGAGAGGGCTTATGCTTTTAATAATGTAGCTGTCAGTTTGAAGCCTGGAAATATTGACCCTAAAAGGTTTATTGCCAAAATTAGATCCCATATTTATACTGAATTATTACCTCTTCAGTTGATTTTTGCCCCTTGTTGAATATACTATATTCTTTGTACTAGGTAAGTGTGTCTGTGGTTGAAACTTGAAAATGATCTTGGAGTCATTGTAGAGATGCTGCAGAACATCATTCCCACCTCTTGACCCAGAAGTTGAAGTTCAGCTATTCAAGAGTTAGAGAACTATTCTCATTTTCTTCCTCCACTTTGTAGCAGGGCATGGGCACTGGTAGTTGTGTGGGAGTTAATGTGTCTTCATCTAAGATTAGTGGATCTGTTTTGATGGCAAGGTATATCACAAGTGTGCTTGCGTGTGTGCAGAAGGGTGTGGATGGGGTGACCGCATCTGCCTCTTATGTGTGCATTGGGTACTTGATTTCATCTCTTTTTATCCTCTTTTTCATATAAAATTGATGGGGATGCCTGAGTTGTTCATATGAATTTGAATACAAAGGGAGAAAAGAAAAATGTCAACAATTAGAGTCAAAACTTTAGCGGCACTGATGATGTTTTCTGATATCTTAACCTCCTAGGGCATCAAACCTTGTTATTTTAATTTGCATCTGGGAGAATGTCTGAGCAAGGAGACCTGAACCAGGCGATAGTGGAGGAAGGGAGGACTGAGCAGGAGACAGCCGCTCCAGAGAATGGCATAGTGAAATCAGAAAGTCTGGATGAAGAAGAGAAATTGGAATTGCAGGTAAGTCTGGATAGACCCTCGATTCTCATACCACTGTGTGCTTTTTTCTCTTCCTTTTCTAAAATACTTTGAAGATGTGTTTCTTCTTTTTTAAAAAGAGTTTGACTAGTTAAATGGTTAGGAAATATTTAATGTTAATCCTCTCTTTTCCCAATTATGAATAATTTTTTTTTCTTGATTGAACTATACTCTAAAATGCCTTTTGAAATGAAAAATATCTAAGGAACATATTTAATTACCGAATTTGCACACATCATCCCAGGACCAGTTGCTAGACCACTTTGAGAGATACCTGCAGGGCCTCTCCAGAGACACCTTTGGGCTCTCTGAGTTTTAAAAATGGGCTTGCAATTCTATGGAAAGATGAAGATTTGATGCACAGCTGACTGAGAAAAGTCAAAGACATAGCTCTGGTGACCTTCGTGGGCAAGTTAAGGTTTAAATCTTATTATCAAACAGAGTCAGAACACTATAGGGGAAGTATGAGACTGGCAGTGAGTGAAGGAAGTGGACAAGTGTTATAATTAAATACACTAAGATTTATAGGGGAAAGAGATTTGGTAGAGGGAATACAAAGGGTACTTAGAAATGGTGTGTAAGTATCAATTTCCTTTGAACTAAACTTTGAAAGTGTTAACTCTTTAGGTACCAGTAGTTGGCAAAGGCTGAAATCACAAAATGGTCCAAAAAACATCGAGGCCAGTTTTTCTCCTCTCTTGTATTTTTTTTTTTTTTTCTGAAAAGAGAGAGAGCTGAAAGTTAACACTTTGGGGGAAGCTGGGAGCTAGGTCAGGGGTTCTCCCTGGTAATTGGAATGCCTGGTCAGTATTGTTAATTTCTCTACTATTTGGTAGTGATGCCTTTTCTTTTCCACTTTCTCTTTCTCTCTCTCTCTCTTGCTTGTCTGTTCACTGTTCTTTTTCTTTTTTATTTCATTTTGTTTTTAACACACAGAGGCGGCTGGCAGCTCAGAATCAAGAGAGAAGAAAATCCAAGGTAGGGTTCTTGAGATTCTTGGTAGAGCCGTAGCGTGGATGTTGTATATTTCACATTGGGGATAAAGGATTTGCCAACAACTCAAGGCAGTTGTGTGCAGATGTGGTGGGTGGCAGAAGGGTCGGTGCTGTCTGTTTTTAATGTGATCATGTTCACAGGTCTCTTTCTTTCCTGCTCTGTATGCTTTTATTTTTTTTTCCAGTTCCAGCATTTAGAGTTTGGATAACTGCAGATATATACATTTGATCCATTTTCACACTTGGAGATTTCATGGTGCTTTCTAAAACACATAGTCTTTTGTTTTATTTTTATTTTAAATAAAATTTGGGGTAGATGATTTAGTCTCACCAACTGATTTCTGCCTTAAAATAAATAGGTACGGCTATTTAGTACACTTTATCATTTAATCATCTTCTCAGTCAAATCCCTCTGAGCATAATTTTAGTGGAAGTTGATTTTGTCAGCTATTTTTCTCTTAATATCTGTATGACATGGCAGCAATTCATTCTTCATGTGTTTCCAAAGTAATGGGCCCAGTTGGCTAAAATTGTTCCTTGCATACATCCACTCATCTTCTCCTCTGTCTCCATCCCCATCAACAAGAGAGGTCTGATGCTTTGCCCAGGTGTAGACAGTACTGAGCAACAGACTTAGAACTTGCTTTTTAAAATTTTGGAAATGTCATGTGGACCTAGAGATGATTTGACAGCCTGAGCATGCTTTCTGTTTGTTTTCTTTATTTCTCCTTCTCTCCCTTTCTTCCCCCTCTCCTCACCCCCCAGTCAGGAGCAGGAAAAGGTAAACTGACTCGAAGTCTAGCCGTCTGTGAGGAGTCAACAGCCAGACCAGGAGCTGAAAGCCTTCAGGATCAGGTATAATCCCTGTCACTATCTTGAATTGCATGAGCTAGACCTGTCTCTGTGTGCATGATGATAAATTTGGCATTAAACAGTGTTTTGGGGGAGAAGAGTACACCTGAAGAAAGAAATACTTTTCTTGCTTCAACACCTGTTTATGAGATTTTTTAAAATAGTTTAAAAGCTTATCACAGAGTATTACGTTTGTTTTTTTCCAGACTCTCTGAAAACTGCAAATGGAAAGGAATTCAAAAGAATTTAGATTAAAACTTAAATAAAAAAAGTAAGCACAATAGTGCTGAATTTCCTCCAAGGCTCTCTCGATAAGGCTGAACCAAATATAGCCCTAAGTACCCTGTCTCCTTCCTTGTTGGAGATGTCTTACCTCTCAGCTCCCCAAAAAGCACTTGCCTATAAGAAACACAACTGTTGGCTCGTATGACACTTGTGAAATAATGACTAAGGTGCATTGAACTTTGAAGACATACTTTACAGGCTTTGGTGGAGATTGCTCAATACTGCAAAAATTATCCAGAAACGAATCTGAGCTGATGGTGAATTTAAGTTAACATTATTAACATTTCGCTGCATCTCCTTACCTTTAGTTTTGCTCCTTACGGCAAGATTATTGGGCTCCAAAAATTTAAATTTCAACAAAACTCTTGTATGACAAAATGAAAAAGTTCACATCATATTTATTTTTGTTTGCCTTTAGGCAGCACATTAGCTTTTATAAAAATAGTCTTGCTGCTGAAATTTTGCTTATTTTTTAAGAGGCTGAGAGCAGTCAGGACAAAAGTTAAAATGATTTATCTGAGCCCAGGGGAGGGAAAATTGATTAAGATGTCATTATTTTTGTTTGGTTTTGTTTTGCTTTTCTCTCTTCATTTTAATTGAAATACTCTAAATTCTCTTCATGGACATAGAGAGCATTGAGAGCACTTTCTTTAAAAGGACCAAAAATAAATCCCTTATAGACTTTTGTCCTAAGAGTATTTTTTTTTTCCTAGCCTCATTTTCTTAACCTGCCACTCATGTCACAAGGCATGAACAGGCTATCATTCAGTGGCCATTACTATGTTTCCTACATCTGCTTTATTTAACTTGGGCTCTGAGAAATGTGTGGCTTTTCTTCAGCATTTTATTTGTGCTTCTATTTTTAATGGAGATTTGAAAGGGGGGAATAATGTGAATATCATGGCTTGTATTATTAAATGTTGATTGATGGCTTATAATGTACTGCACATGACATGTGTTAACTCTGCGGAATGACAGACCCTAGCAGAAGTAATGCTCCAGTTGTCTCCCACTCCTAGTGCCAGGCAGAGGAGGACAGCCTCTATAGACTCAATCTGCTTTTAGTCCCATTGGACAAAGCACAGGAAGACATTTTTTTTTTAAGACATCATCTGTATCATAGTGTCCAACCTGGACCTAAATCTAGTTTCTCCGTATGATTGGTGCAGAGAAATCAGATGCAAAAGGTGCTTTGTTCCTGCTGGTTCCAAGCTCAGAAAACAAAGAGTAGCTTGTAGGAGAGAATTAGAGCCTGCAAGCTTTTCTTTGACTAGCTGGGAGTGGTGGGAACAGGGGGCTGGTAGAAAATACCCAGACACACACATAAGCAAGTGGCCCTGCTACCTTTTTAGAGACTAAAGAAGCAGATCTTTGAGTTTATGTGCAATGCCTTCATTAGATCTCACCGGCACTAGCAAAATGTGTGGACTGAACCCAGAGAACAGTGGCAGAAGTATACAGTATATGGATTGTATGGCTTCCCCAATGTTTGTATATTCACAGTATTTGGAAAACTGCCTTCATTTTCCTGTGTGGAAAAGACTCTCTTGCTACCTGTATTACTTGATCTCAGACCCATACCTGATGGTTCAGTCTGTCCTTAAGTTAAAGGAAGTTTGCTTTTCTAATGTTATACTATTTACCTATCAGTGTATTACTGCAACTTGAATCATTCTTTTACTGTTGTTGGATATAAACTTATCCTGTACCAATGTATTTATTAACACTTGTATTTTATTATTGAGTATATCAATAAAAATATTAAAAAATAACAGATTGTTTTTTACCAACTCTAAAGCACTTTTGTGTGTTCTTTCAACACCATAATGCGTATTTATGTATAGAAAAATAGTTTTTTTTTTCCTGAGTGTTGTATTTGTCAACACATGGCATCAGTTTGTACGTATTTTTTTTTTTTGTAGTGAAAGTTTTTCTGTGCCTCTGCTCTTGCATTTAAATTGTATTTCCAAGCCTCTTTGATTGTAGATTCAAGCTTACAGAGGCTAAATGTTTCAGTTGGTTTTGAAGAAGTAATGAGACCATTTTCATGACCAGGGTGCCCAATCCACAGTTTCCCCCTTTAATCAACTGGCAAATCGATTCTTCCCCGTCACAGTCCGCAGTCATGCCTTAGCCAGAAGTGCCCCAGTGTTTTCCTGAACAAGTAGAAGCAAATCATTACCCTCTAGTCTGCTTGAACCTTTGTCAATTAAGACATTTTTTCCCCAAATGGTGTTGTGAAAGGCACTATAATCAAATTACATTTCATTTTACATATTTCATGTACATCCAATTCCCCAGGATAAACATGTGGCAATCAAAGAAAAAAAAAACAGATGAGATAAATATTGATCAGGAGAGCATGTTTTATTTCCTCCTCTATGTTTTTTGTTTGTTTGTTTTTCCAAGCATGGTGACTTTGTTCTAGCCAGGCGTTCACAATGGAACCCCTCCCAACAAAAGAGATTTGGCTTCAGAGGACTTTTGTTTTATGCCTGTTAGGTTAGCCAGATTTGCCAAGAACCATTATGAAGACCAGATTGGTCACAGTTGGAGGAGGTGCCAGCATCGATATAGTCACATGTAAAGTGAGCATTAGCTTGCTTTTCCATGAGAGACACTATTAGTCACTGGGAATACATTTTCCCCCTACATCATAAATTTTAATGCCACTCCTGGAAGGAAGCTTCCCACCATGTGATCTCTTACATAAGAACAAATGGGCTTCGTGTGGGCTGCTTTGTCATAATTTTAATTATGACATAACTTTTTTCAAAAAACTAATAAACATGACATGGCTCATTCTTCTTCAAAACAATGAACATACTATCAGACAAACCACTAGCGTTTGTGAATTAATGCAAAATGACCTGTTTTTCAGCACAAAATAAATACTAGAGAGAAGATCCAGCTCCCAAACTGTAAAGGGTCAATGTTATATGGAGCAAGAGAGGGTTCGAAAGAATCTATGTATATTTTGGAAAGGATTAGTTGATACTAAAATGAAAAAAAAAACAATTAAGTATTTATATACAATTTATGAAAAAATGTAATTCTACTGGCTACATTTTCTAAAAGGCAATGCTTCTTGTAAATATATATCATAATGACTTATTGATGGCATTTATAAACAATCATGATAATCCATTCCTGGGATTCCTGGTGTCATAAAGCTTGATTTATCATAGTAGGAGTAAATTATAAATTTAAAAGTAGGAGTATTGTAAATTGTAAAGTAGGAGTTTATTATAAATTGGGTATTGAGGGCTTTCGTTATGTCTGTTCTCTCTGTAATAACAATTCGTAAAATCTGTCTGTCTATGTTTGTGCCAGTTTCTCCTTATAAGGAGTTACAAAAGAACTACGGAATTTTTTTTTTTTTTTTTTTTTTTTTTTTTACATACATGACAGTGGCTCTGATGTAAGCTGATGGATGAAGGAATTTCTCCTAGGGAGTTAAAAATAAGCCTGTAGAAAAAATAAGAGTTGTGATCTACAGGAATTTAACTTAGTTGAGGTTAATATTCATGAGGCAAAGTTTCAGTACTAGATGTTTCTCATGACCTCCCCTTGACTTCTAAAGTTCAATTCACCTTAAAGGGCAATTATTTTTCTGACAGGTTTAATTTTTACCATTTAAGAAAAAAAAAAGTCTGCACCTGGCTTTCATTTTTCTGTATTTAATAACCTCTATGCAAAATGGAAACCAGACAGAGATTATTAAACCTGGCCCTAAATTATTATATTTTCTCCCCAACAGGAATCAATTCATTTACAGCTTTCCAGTTTTCCCAGCCTGCAAGAGGAGGATAAATCTAGGAAAGATGACTCTGAGAGAGAAAAAGAAAAGGATAAAAACAAAGATAAAACCTCTGAAAAACCCAAGATCAGAATGTTATCAAAAGGTGAATGTGAAAATGTTTCCTTAATTTCCTCAATTTGGGCACATATGTAGTTCTAGAGGTTGTTCTAGAGAGCACATGCATATTCACCACCTGACAGGCTCTGCATACGATTTTATATGTGTACGTATGTGTGCATGTAAAAGATGTGAACTTGATTTCATTTCTGTTCATAGTCTATCATTTGTGTAGTTAGGATATTTTTGGATCACATAATTCTTTGTATTCACATGTGAATCTCCTGTTTTCAATTGCTAGCTGTAAAAAGGAGTAAATATAAATGTGCTCTTAAATTCAGATTGATTAGACCAGTTAACTTGGAGTGGTGAACAGCAATGATATCCAGTTTTCTATCTTAACTCTCATGTTTATCTTAAAAGGCAAATGGCAACCAGATTCTGTCAGTCAGTGAGGTAGTCTCCCAAGCAAGTACGGAACTGTATGTCCGTGGATTACCTGATTCACATCTTACCTGATTTTGGTCTCTGCACCCATACACTGTCACCCAATGTTTCATTTTTTAAAATACACATACTACTTTAATACACATTCTACCCTTCCCATCCCCCCCCAAAAAAAAACAACCCCAAAAGTAATCCCTTCTAAAGCTACAGCCTTTTGAATATTGCCATACATATCACTGTACAAAATAAACCTAAGTTAAGTTGAAATGAAGAATGCCACGCATAAAGTCTACCTTTCAGTAGACTTTTTAAAGATAACAGAGAAAGAATTGGGCATGTGATCTGCTGAGGAATGATAACCACTCCTAATATCAAACAACATTTTGGTTTATAACACCTGTCTCTGCTGCTCTATGCCTAAAACTCGAGGTGTACACAAGAGTCAAGAAGCTCATCTTTTTAAAGTGGTTATGGAAAGTTAAGTTTTATCTAGCATCAGGAGACCTGAAAGACTTGGGAATGTTTAGTGCCCGCCTGTGTTTTGTACTGATTAATATTTAGGAGGTCTTGTAACAGAACTTTCATTTTTTTTTTTTCACCTCCTTCTTTCCAAGAGAAAAAGGATTCTGTAAGATCTCAAGCTCTAGAGCCTTCTCTGGAGGTTGGGATTTTCTGTGATGTGGAGGCAGTGCCTGGCTGATTTGCAACATAGGGTGAACATGTGATAATTGGCTCTACCCCTCCCAACACCAGACTGTGCCCACTTCCCCTTCCATATTTGGGTCTTTCCACAGTCAGGATCTTTTCAATCCCCAAGCCTTATTTTCATTTTGATGTCACCCTGCCAGGTTGCTAGTTATGCAACATATGTTTTTTCATAACAATAGCTTCATCTAGAATGTACCTGAGCTGGAAGGAAAGGAGGCGGGCTGGGTGAGCATTTTCTATCCCATCTTCCCGCCATTTCTTACAACTCCACCCTTCTGTTTGTTTCAGACTGCAGCCAAGAATACACGGATTCTACAGGCATAGACTTACATGAGTTTCTGATTAACACTCTAAAGAATAATTCCAGGTAAATTATTAAACAAGCCTCTTTATTATTGGAGGGTTCAAATAAAATGTTAGAGTTATTTATCCAGATATTTCTAAGACAGTTGTACAATGCAGATGCCTTTCCTGATGGCTTAAACTATCTCCCGCATTTCTTTTTACCTGTTTCAAATTTGCACGTTTATTATTGAGAGATTTATAACTCCTGGGTCGTTACTTTAATGAATAAATGATAGTTTATCAGCTTTACTTTCCTGGTCACAAAGAAATAACTGATGAAGAGGGAAAAATAGAGAGTAAAATTATTGATATTAAGTAAACCAATTAGGTTTCAATTCAGTTTTAGACCTATCTAAATCCAATATCTGGGCTTTACTTTATTTCGGTTTCCTGTGAATTTAAAACATTTTTTTTAAATTGTTATGTTTTATGGTCCTCATGGCTTGAATGCCAACATACACATTGACTATAAAATTTAGATACTACCAAAGATTTAACAAATGAGAAAAAAATTATCTGGAGCAAAATGAAATAATGTGTAAGGAATGGTTGGCATGTTCTAAAGAAAAGTGAGATGTAGTTTTGTAACAATATGCATTGCATTTAAATAATCTTCTCCATGCATTTAATTAACTATTTATGTCCTTGGGATATGGAAATTACATAAAAACTTTAATTCTAACTTTTTTTTTTTTTTGCAGGGACAGGATGATACTCTTGAAAATGGAGCAGGAAATTATTGATTTCATTGGTGACAACAAGTATGTTAAATGGCAGTGCTGGCTGATGAGATGATGGGTTTTAGTTTGATATTTGGATTAAATTACTCATTTTGGACAGATTTAGGCATAAAACATTGTTTAATATGTTTCTTGATTTGTTAAATGGAGATGTTATTGGGAGTCGTATGCTGATGGGGATTGTTGCTTGGACCACGCGTGCTCCTGCTTGTTAAATTCCTGACAAAATGGCTATTAAACAGGGGGCCACCAATTAGCATAGAATAGCTGTACCACGAAGCGACCCTTTTCATTTTTATTATAGTTTTTTAATGGGCTCCAGCTGGCTGCAGTCAGTTATGCCTGGAAATAATTGTGCTGCTTTCAGTGTAAACTGGGTAATGACACATCTCCAGATAGGCATCTGCAGTCACGTATTATGTCATATCATTTGTCCTCTGCCTGGCTCTGTTGATAAGGTATCATGGACAAAAATAGAACACTTTCCAACAGATATTAAGTTCTCTTTGGCAGGAGAAATGTGCAACTATGAAACAATAATACGTATTGTAGCTTAATCAATACATCTATAATAAGTGGAAATCTTGCCTCGAAATGGGGACACTAAGTAATGCCAGAAATGAAAGCAAAAGGCTTAGTGGTTTGGGTGAAAGAGAAATAGTTTTGTGTATGTACCTGTAAAATGTGCTGTGGACAAGAAATGGAAATGCTGATTTCGCTTTTTCTTGTAACTCTGTTTCAGTAATCATTATAAAAAGTTCCCTCAGATGTCATCGTATCAGAGGATGCTTGTCCATCGGGTGGCAGCTTACTTTGGATTGGATCATAATGTGGATCAAACAGGAAAATCTGTCATTATCAACAAGACCAGCAGCACCAGAATGTAAGCCCCATCACTGTATTTATTTAGTATTTTCTTTTTTTCTCTTATGGGTTCATTTATAAGAGCACAGTATTAAATTCAAAGTGCATGACATTTAAAATGTGCAGTGTTCTTTATCTTTTGCTCTTATCAGTAGTAGTGTGGCATTTATCTGTAGAAGATGATCTGCGATCCAAGAAAAGTTTGTAAAATTCAGGCAATAAAGTGAATTTACTTCCTGATCTTTTACATAGCTCTTGAAACATAATTCTCTTCTTTCTATCAATACTCCTTGAAATTACATACAAATCCATGGGAAATTTTATGTCCAAATGTAACTCAAATTGAAAGTAAAAGACTTTTAAGAAACCATGACATGTACAGAGTAATGGTCCTATTTCCCCTTTTCTGATTTGTTGACATCTATCTTATTGTGGTTTCCAGAGTAATAAAACCCCCTGAACCTGGAGACAGAAATCCTGCCTCTAAATTTCAATTCTACCTACCAGTTGTGTGACTTGGCACTTGTCATTTAAAATCTGCCATCTCAGTTTTTTTTTTTTCCCCTGCAAAATGAGAGTTTTGAGCTAGATGATATTTAAGTTTTATCTCTAAAAGGAAGATGATAATTTGTTTTTTCTTCTTAAGATAATCACTTGATTTCATCTTAGTAGATTATTGTTGTCCCACTGAGTCATGAAAAGCATAATAATGAGTTTTAATTTGCTTTGAAACTTGGAGCTATCTCTCTTTGACCCATGGAACTTTTGAGTACAGTGCAAGCCACTTCTATAACAAGAGTCATGTTAAACTCTTTAACTGTTCAGTGTAAAATATTCTCTTTTCTAATTCATTTTTCCACACTGTGCTTAGTAAGCTTAGGAATACCATGTTAGTGAAGGGAGCTTTTGTGTCAAGCTGAGTATCATGATTAAAATATTCTTTTTTTTTTTTTTTTCTTTTTCCTGTTCACTGGGGTTGGAACAAGTCGGGATAGAGATAAGGCTCTTTGTCTACTCAGGGATCAGTCTGTGCTCAGCAGAGGCAGAGGGAAAGTCACACTGGAGAGTACAAACTAGGAGACCTGGGACCACACTTGGCTATTATGTCAGGGACACTGAGCACTTCACTTCTCTGGGCTTCAAATTACTTGAATATATGCCGGACTGTTTGAAGTGGATAATGTTTAAGGGCTCTTAAAGCTTCAGAATTATTGAGTCCTGGGGTTACATTCTATTTGACTGGCAAAACACATTTTAAAACTTATCAGTTTCCCACTCTATCTGATTGTTGACACGTGTGCCTCGTATTTTGAACAGTAGTGGAAGTTAAAGGTTATGTCTCTTAATCCTTCACATCTTCCCACTCCATCAAATACTCTTGCTTGTTTTTGTTGTTGTATGGCTGTTGATGTTTTCTATTCTCCGTTCTGTTTTTTCCTGTGGCTTTCAGGTACCATAATGTAGAGAAGTGCTGATTGGGAAAAAAAAAAAAAAACTACCTCCTTTTAATTTTTTTTTCTTTCTCTTTAAGGCCTTAAGGAAATATGAAAAAAGCCTCCAGATTAAGTAGATTAAGTTTCATATAGTTTCACCTGGTGGATAGATTTATCTATAATATACACTCTTGGTAATCACAGTCATGAATATAGATAAACATGTTTGTAGAATAGTTTTTGAGAATATTAAGCCTTTGTAGAAAGACTCTTGCTAAACTTCAGTACCTCTAAAGCTGCTTTATTGAGTATGGTAGCTATTCACTTTTTGATTTCAATTAATTAAATTTAAATAAAATTAAAACTTTGAAAACTTAGTTTTCCCTCTAGGCTAACTGCTCATATTGGATCTATAGACTGTTTTCATGATTTTGGAAACTTTTATTAGCCAATTCTCTAAATCTTATATTTTCTGCAAGTTTCCAAGTAACACTAGATGTTATAATCTGTCCTTTAAAACTTTGAATATCTGAATAACAAACATTGTAACATTAGCCCTTTTTACTTCCAAAAGAATGCCAGCATTTTTTGTTTGTTTGCTTTTTTTTTTTTTAATGGCCATTTTATAATAGACCCCACATACTTATAAGTTCAGGAAGAGTGAAAAGCATCTCTTGAAGACTTGATAGCTCCAGCAGAAATGCCAGGGCTCAGTCTTGGCCTAGTTCTTTGCTCTTGCATTTCCATCTTTACCCACCCTTCTATGAGTCAAATCCTCCCTAAACAAAAGAGACAGAAGGCTGCGTGTCATGGACTTTCAAGTATTTTCTGAAGAGTCTAGCCTGTCATTGCTCAATCGGTAACTGTCAACTCTTAGTGTTCTATTCTGACCATACTTCTGACCATCTTTTATCTGATTGGCTATTAGAGGACAAGGGTAATGGTGGAGGTGATTCAGGGATAATTGACACCTCTTAATAGGAAAAGAGGATGAATTAAATGTTCTTTTTCAAGTGGTAACAAGTCACATTTTTCAGGACCTGAATCATTTTCATGGTTTTAGTGAAGAGAAAATAGCATTTTGCAGAGATTTGTATGTTGGATTTTAAAGTTCTATTGCCATGGAGTTGAAAGTGGAATTGAATATAGGAACGGAGCATTCACAACAGGCTATACAAGGCCCAGGTGTCTTGGGATTTTTGTTGTTGCTATTGTCATTGGTTTGTCTTTGGTTGGAGGGTGTCCTTTGGATTTTCTGAAAATTTTAAGTGTTCTCTCATCAAGGCAATTGACATGTGATAGTTAATGGGAACCATATTATTTTAGACATATTGATTTGAAATATTTTCATTTATTTGATGGAAGGAGGCAGGGATGAGAATTTCTCAGATGGGTTCTTATGAGTTTTGTGTTTAGAGAATACCTTTTCAATTTATACCAATTTGTGTTACTTCAAGGCAAATACACAGAAATGCATATATTAAATGGCACTATGACTTTGGAGAAATTCAACAAAAATGTCAGTTGAGGACATAAAAGTCAGCTAAAGTTTGGGGGAGGTAAAACATTCTTTTATAATTTTAATGTTTCTTCTTTACTAACACACTATTGGTATATAAAGTGCTTCTCTAACTTAGATGCATACATAATTATGATACTGTTAGCTAAACATTGGCCATGATTTATTTCCCAACATAATGCTTTTCTCAATGAAAGGCAGTTCAAGTACTTAGAGATAAGTGACTTCAGAAGGTTTAGATTTTCATAGAAACTAGTTTTACATGAAGTTCAAACTATTTAGGTCATAATGACAAATGTGTGAGGAGAGTGTGTCTGTGTGTCTGTGTATGTGTGTGTGTGTGTGTGTGTGTGTGTGTATGTTTAATTGATTTCTAGCATTTTCTGAACATACTTAGATATAATATATAATACATTTTCCCTTTCATGATGGAAATAATTTTTCTCAGGACATACTTCTCAGCTGATATCATCTCTTACTTAAAATAGCATTACCTACCATTATTCATTATAATGGATATTTCTCCCTTGTCCCATGTACATTTTTACATTAAATCCTACAAACTAGGTTTTATAAAGTTTGAGGCTTGAAGAGGAGCAATAGTTAGCATGACTGGAGCCTAAACTAGTAAGTCTAATAAAAAAATTCTTAAAGAATTCAATTTTCTTAAAGAGAACTATCTCAAAGATAGTGAGCAAAATTCTCAAAAATATTTCATGGATTAGATGGGAATCCCAACTCTTTAAGCCCATCATTGTCTCAGAAGAAACAGAGATTGAAGGACTGTCATTTTTATTAAGATATTTTTAAATTTCAATTCATTACTATTAGTGGATAATAGAATCTTCCTGCAATTGGATAGTTCTTACAGGATTTTCTGTACTCATTATATATGTGACTCGGTGAAGGGGTACATATATTAAATTTAAGCCTCACTTTCTTCCATTTCACTTTTTCCCCCAAAGAATGAAAAGACCACATCTAAAAAAATAATAATATTAGTATAGAATGTGAACTTATTCATTATGTTATTACAGAATTAACGCCACAAGCTACCTAGATGACCACCCCTGTACTATATCCATGATAGCATCAGTGAAGTAAGAAGAAGAAGAAATATGGAAAAATAGTTGCAGTAGAGTCACTAGAGGTTTTCTGTTAATATAATCAGGGTTCTGGGAGCATTTGTGAATTTCCTGATGATAGCAGAGTAGTCATATCTTGAAGTCTTGTTGTATACACAGACAAAATTTTCCAGACAGAAAACACTTCCAGCAACTACAACTTATCAACAAATCTATACCCTAGCATCTAGACTTCAGTCTCTGTAGTTACACAAAAACTAGAAGATAGGACTTCGGTCACACTGAATCTTACACTCTGCTGACAGAAACGGGCTATTCACTTCAGAATCTGCTATCTTAAAAGCCGAAAAATGTAATGAAACTCATTGCAGACCCATAGTAGGCACCTAGCAAGTATCTAGAGAATGATTGCATGATCAAAAGCCCACTATGTTAAGTACCCACTAGAAAATAAAAACAGATTTTGTGGGGACTACCAACCTACCTAATTAACGGCTCATGTAGGCATTTACAAGGGTATTGAGGAGAGTTAAGACATAAATATATATAGTAAGAAGAGGGATACACTGAAAGTAGGAATATAAGATGCAAACAAATTTATGATGATTTTTACTTTTATTGAGCACTTAGGTGGGCATTCTGTGTAGATAGTTGTATTTAGTTCTCATAGTCATCTAATGAAGAGGATTTTTTTGAAAAATAATTTTTCCAACCTTATTGAAGAGAAAATTTACTGAGGGAGAGTGAATGAGTTGCCCAGATTATACTGCTACAGATAAGAATAGAATCCTGATCATTTGGCCTCAACTCCAGGGACATTATGATTTTATACTTCCTGGAGACAAATATAGAGAGAATGAACTAGTCAGGTCCAGTGGAAGTTCACATGAGATTGGAGGGGACACTGGAGGAAGTCAGCCCTTAAAACTGTAGACCATGAGGGTTGATGTGCATAACATGATGATTTAACAAGATTAATATG